AAAAAAAAACAGAAGAAAAAACATGAGAAATTAAAGTTTTTTCTGCTTTTTCGTTTCCATTTTTCAACTGTATTATGGAAAACTGCCTATTAAACTTGTGAAAGTTGCTTGATAATGATAAGATTGGAAAAAAATTTGTATTTTTTTGTTACATTTGACTAAAGTGTACATTTTTTGTCGATAAAAGCTATGCATTTTGTTTCTTAGAACTATTTAACCTTGTTTTAATTGATCAAAGATTGTTTTTCATTCAGTAATTTTCTTATTAATTTTTTTTTCAATTACAATAGATTATCAGCTAACTAAGAAGTTCTTTCTATTGCTGATTACACAGCATTGGCGACGACGACGAATGCACAAATAAAAAAGAAGAGTGATATTTATCATTAATTTTTTATCATTTATTTAGGTTTAAACTGCGGAATGAAACCACTGGGAACGGATAAATACAAAAGAACAAATACTTATGGATGCTTAGAACAAAGATTAAGCTAATATTAGTTTATTACTTAAACACCATATTGATCAATAAAATGGTTACGAGAAATATAACAAATAAAAAAACTCATTGCTAATAAACAAAAATTGTTTAGAAATTCAATTCTCTATTTTTTACATATTAATTATACAATTTTTTTTTCTGCTTCTTTTTCTTTTAGTTTTATTTTGAAATTCTTAAATTTCTGCCATTTTTGACTACGTAATTCAACAGTAAAAAGCAAAAAATTTAAGGCTTCTGTTAACAGAAAACGAATAAAACTGAGCTAATTTCATCATTTCTTCGTTCAGTTTTATGTTACTAAAGATGACAGCTTTTAACTAAAGTACAATTAAAATACAAAAATATCTTTAAAAAAAGAAAAAAAAAAGTCAATTTTTTTAAGAAAACAAATTTTTTTTTCTTGTAACATCTGTCGTAACAGTTAGTAAAATTGGCATCAACAACTAAATCATAGTGTCCAATATTGAAAAAAGTGAACTGTAGAATTAAGTTGGTTATTATATGCAAACTTCATCAAAATCATTAATGAGAGCAACAGCAGCAACAAGAAATCTTTTGAAATTCTTTTGTCAAATAAATTTTTATCAACAGGTATTTGTTCAACAATTTACTAACTCTCTATCAGATATGTAAATAAACAGCAAAAAAAAATTTATTCTCAGTTGTTTAAAAAAAAAAAAATTAATTAAGGAAATTGTTGTGAATAAACAATAAACAATTATTTCGCTAATACATTGTTGAACAGAAATAAAACAGTTCTGCATATATCCATAATTAAAACTGGTTTCCTGTTTTTAATCAAACAACAAAACAACGACGAAAAAAAAAAGGGGAGAAGAGTAATATATAATTCATGTTTTTGATGATTTCAATCTATTATCTTGTTTTACTTGATTTTACTTCTGTTTTTTTTTTTTTTCGCTTGCAGAAGTGAAGTTTATTTTTTTCTTTTTATTTTTTATTTTTTATTTTTTGATTATTTACAACCTTAAAATTTATCTGCTCTATCAAATCATTTTGATTAAATATTAAGAACAAAAAAGAAGAGTATTAAACAGAAGTCTAAAACTGATTTTGCTGTTGTTTTTCACACTGATCATTAGCAAATTAATTCTGTAAGCTAAAAAGGTTTCGATTCACTGCAACTGCAGTAGAAGTCACGAAAAATTGCTGTGGTGAGGAAGTGATACCGAATTGAGGGAAAAAGCTGCTGTATAAGTGCTGAATCTGTGAATCAACGTTTAACGGTAGACAAAAGTTGAGAAGAGGAGACAATGAGGGAATAAAGAGTACAATTTACATACCGAAACGAATAAAACCGTTGCTCCTTTCTTTTTTTGCAAAGAAACGTCGTTTTTTATAGTAATTCAAAAAAGAAGAAAAAAAAGAAAAACGACGAAGTTGTAAAGCCAAAACTTAGATGCACTGCTGTGGTGTACAGCTCCTAAAAAAGAGTAACTTCAATACTCGAATTTAGGTATTGATAGAATACGCTGTAATTTATTCGTAAATAGCTTCCAGTTTCAACCTTTTTCTTTTTTACTTTCTTTATTTTTATTTTGGTTTACAAAACAAAATAATTTTCTTATTGTTTAAAATTCTAAAATTTTTCAGCTATTTTGTAGTTCACAGTTGAAAAGTTATTTTTACAACCAGTATACAGTTTAGCATTAAAATTTTAGTTATTCTGTTTACTTAATACTATACGCAGTGGCAAAAACTGATAAATAAATTAATAATAATCTTATTTGATAATAAAAAAAAAATAAACAATTTGAACAGATTAAAATTTTTGTTTTAATTTATTTATTTTCTTCTCTGATTGATTCTGTTGATAAAGTTTAATTTTGTTTGGCAACAATAGGGTTTTTTCCACTTTCTTTCCTTCTTTTTGGCAAGTTTAAAAATTTCTTCTATTTTTTATCTTCAAATATTCTCATTTTAAACAAGTCTATTTTCTTTATTCAAATTTTTTATTCTTCCGTTTTTTTCTCTTGATATTTGTTGAAAACCTCAATCAAGTGATTTTTCATTTGAAAAAAAAAAAAACGTTTTTATGTGGTTTGCGGAATAACAAAGAGTAACAGCAAAAGAAGAAAAAAAAAACAATTTTAAAGATGGGAAAAAACTAGATAAAAAAAATTTCTGGATTAGGTAAAAGATATCATAGTGAAAAGAAAGAAATGTTTGATTATTTTGGGATTGAAGATTGAAATAAAATTATATTGCACAACTAAGAAAGTAATTAGGCAGCATTAACAGTAAACCAAACAGAGTAAATGCTCTTTTTTTCAAAACAGGGTTCATTATTGTCTTCCAAATTAACCAAAGGTTACAGACTGATTTTTGCTCAACAAAATTGCTGTTCAAATATTTTGCTGTTGTTTTAGTTAAGCAAAAATTTGTCTTTTTCAGGCACCTTTTTACCCAAAAAAACAGTCCACTGAATCAGTTAACGACGACTTCTGACCAGCGGTGTTACACATTTTCTCGAAATTGATACAGAGCACAATAAGACGGTGATACTGTTTATTTGGCAACTACGATACATCTGCAAATGGTACTTTCAGATTCTTACGCTGAAAGAACTTTCTTACTGCTATTTGCAAATCAGAAAAGGAAAAAAAATAAAATTAGAAGTCTAATAAAATTAAAAATTGACTGCAATAATATGCTTTGTATAAGGCATTGGAACTTGCAACGTTGGCAACGTCCGAATGAATACTGCAAATTTTCATCAGCCAAAGTCTTTCAGTGTATCGAAATGGTCAAACATAAAAGCAATCTCCCTCTCTTCCAACCCCCCTTCCCCCACTTTAGCAAAGAAAAAAATTGTCCAATTTTTTAAAATGAAAAATTAATTTCAAACATAAGCAAACGTTCAGAAAA